TGTACCATTACAACACCGCGTCAAAGAAATTACACATCGGACTTTGAGAAAGCCAACAAAGGGTTAAGGCCGCAAGCTAAGGTAAGATTTTCCTGCAGTGAACAGAGAACAGTGATTATGGATACAACCAAAGGCCAAAATCTGCTAAGATTCTGGCAACCTCCCCTCTGACCAGCAGCATCTGCTAAGGGAGCAACGGGGGTCAGACTGATGTCAGCAGCGGTGTGTCATTGCGATGTGAGCCTCACCCCTTTGTATGCATGTTCTGATGCTGCACACATACAAATGCAGCTTTCATTATTCAAATGAAATCAAGAAGATCGCACTGCCTCTGACGTCCTCAGCAATTTCACTGTTTCCATCCCAAATCCAGTGAGATTTCCAGCAAGAAGATCGAACTTTTAAAAAAGCTCTTCGTATTTATTCGGGGGATTTTTCAGGAGTTATATGGCATCTTTAGTAGATGTGATAATAGCTGGGATATTAACATCTTACCTGCTCCATCCATAAAGCCCCACGCAGTTGTTTGCCTAAGAATAATTTCAACGATCAATACTGCCTCTTGATTAGCACGGAAGGGCTATTACAGACCTGAAACCTATAAAGCCCATAAGTATGCTTTTCAAAGTCAGTTTCAAGGTATTCTAGGCCATGCATTTTTCTCCCACCTTTAAGACTGGGGCTTTGACGCAAAGGTGCATGGTTGAAATTTTTCAGCACATGTAGACGCAGGAGGAAATGGGGAGGAATGGTCAGAAGGATCCTCTCTCAGTTTCAAGTCCCCAGCAGAATATGTCTAAAAACTGTCACACGTCTAAAATATGTGATCAGCTAGATTGCAAGTGTCATGACCTTCAAGGAAACTGAAATAAGCTGCAGGCATCTACAGAGGATCATACTACGTTGCACAACGCCAGACTGTGGAAGCGCACAACGATAAAAGGATGCCATTAAAACTCTGAAGCAAAGAATTCTTTTATGGAATGTGGAAACTGTGCCGGCCTATGAGATAATATCTAAAATAGTAAAGAAGCTGAGTTTTCACATAGGCAAAAATGTTTTTATGTTTAGGTAGAACAGGGAGAAGGGAAGAGTAAATGTTTTCCACTTTCCTTAAATCCTTTCTAGTTGATTTTACTGCTTTATTTAGCGTCTCCTACTTTAATTTTTGAGTTTCACTGTTAAATTTATTCTCACATTATACTGACTCATCAGTGGTAACGTTTTCTATCCCTAATATTCTTTTTAGCTAAAATTCCTTGTATGTACCTTAAAAAAAAAAAAAAATCCTGCTGGTCTAGCCTATATATCTATGTTTATATGTGTCTCCTGATTTGCTTTGTGCTGGTTAATGACCGTAATAAAGATAATGACGGTCTTCTGCTTTCATTCGGTGGACTCAAAAGAATCAGCCCTATTCATTTCAGCTAGTATAACATTCCAATGAATTGTGTCCAAACCGAAAAAAGGAATTTCCTTCTGTATCATAACTAAATCAAATATTAGCTCATACTTTTATGATGTTTAAATGAATATATGACTAGGTTTTTAACGGTGTTCCAACTCACCCTTAGAACACTGACATTCCAGCACAGCCAAGAGCTGAAAGATATGCTAATCCATATTTCCCAAACTAGTATAGACCAAAGCCTGCTCTTTTTAATTTTTTTCTGCTGGAGTCTGCAACTCAAAAATTCCATAAAGAAGGCTGTATTGGGGGAAAGTTACCAAGACATATGTCCATTAAATGAAATGAATGTCAAAAGCACAGAACGTTTTGCGAACATTTTGTTTAATGTACATACAGTACTGTGCAAAAGTTTTAGGCAGGTGGGAAAAAATGCTGTAAAGTAAGAATGCTTTTGAAAATATATATATTGTAATTGTTTATGTTTATCAATTTACAAAATGCAAAGTGAGCGAACAG